AAATATTAAAAATTTTAAAATATACAACATTGCAGATGAAGCAGGACAGCATAAATTTGCATAACATTATTAGGGAATCCAATATAGGTGAAGTTGAATGTGAGAAAGAGTTTTGAAATCTGATAGAGAAAAGGGCAGGACAATGGATACATCCATCATAATCAAGGTACAATAGAATCTATATCCATAATTTAAGACCAATTGCAGATTACCTGATCGAGAACAATTAAGTCTACGTTTTGGTGTAAAAACAGGGTTTTTTGTCTTACAAACAAGCTAATATCATACAATTTTAAATTTTTTTGTAAACAGTACATGGTACAGTAACCAAAGAACTATTTTATGCTTCCCGAATAATTTCTCAACTGGTTCTTACGCTGAACAAGTCAAATAAGGTAGCAGAATATGGTCAGTCAGTACATCAACAGCATAGTTAAACTTACCTCCAATATCTGGACGAGGCAATTGGAATGGCTAGGAGAGACTACAGTATTCAAACTATCTTTCATAATAAAGAAATTGTGAGCATAAGATAAGAAGACCTAGGAAAAAGGTTGTTAGTTAAGCTAGCCAGTTGGCATGCCATTACTACACATGTTCGCAGGATCCTATTGAAAGGACATGAATAGACAAAATGATCTCTTCATAAAATACAAAATATTAATATTATAAAAATAAATAATATTAAAACTGAATATTGTACATTTAAATAATTTAATTTACCTCCAATTCAGCGATTTCCATAGAATGATCAATTCGACCGTCTTCTTTTTCAGCAAGCTGTAAAGTTTCTTCATCATCACTCCAACTGGAATTTGATGCTTCAAAATCTTCATCTTCGCTTCTATCACTCGGTATCTGCTGTTGACACAAACATATTAAATTATTAAACCCGGGTATACATATAAATAAAAATTAACCAATTAACCTCTTCAACAGCTTCATTTTCCAGTGTTTCTAAACAAGGTTTTGGTTTTTTTTCAAGAACTAATTCAATTGATTTAGATTCTTGTTTTAATACATCCATCTCCTTTTTACTGCAAATATTGTCATTTGGTAATTTATATTGATCTACAGTAGTATCATCATCAGAAGATGAATGACAAGCAGTTGCATTTGTTTTACCTACAAAAAAAATTTAAATTTAGGAGAGTTCATATATCGAACTAGTTTTAGTAGTTTACTTTATCAAAATATGAGTGGATTAATTATGCATACAAGATATTTAAATACTTCATCAGTATCAGTTTAGATTAGTATATTATCAATCAAAAATAATCAACTTATAGTACCGTCAGAAATAACCAAGGGAGAAATTTGTGATGCATTCATCGAAGAATTATTAGCAGACTTCATTAAACTTTCAGCGACCAAAGTTGTCATTTTTTCAGTTTGATCAACAATAAAATTTAAATGTTCATCTAATGCAATTTTTCTTTGTTCCTCTAATTTAGTGGATTGTTTGAATACAAGTAGCTGAACAAAAATATAATAAAAAATATAATACTATTTAAAGCTTTCATAAAATCCATAGCTTTTTAAGTTTTCAAAGACAGATTATATTTTTTACAATTTATGTAGTTTCAAAGTACATGCCTTTTCAACATTACTCCAAAATGTTTTTATCATTTTTGCAATGAACCCGGTTATTCGCTTTTGATGCATTTCAGAAGCTTTGGCTGCTTTTTGAGCTTCAATTTTCTTTTCATGGAAATGCTTCATAACCATTTTAGCGCACTTCAGAATAAGTTAAGATGAGTATACAATATTTAAATAACATTAAAATATATCAATTTAACAAAAAATTACTTGTTTAGCTGCTTTTTTCTTCCATTTTCGTTCTTGGGCAAAATCAGTAGCAAGCCACTGCATTTCTTCTAAAAGATAGTCATGGTGTGCCTTATTTCTCGGAGGTTCATAAATTTTAGGCAGTCTTTTTTCACTCCACAAACCATCACGCTGTAGTTGATTTATTTTTTGAATAATTTGTGCTTCCTAAATAAAATATTCAAAAAAATTATGTTAGTTATTATTAACATAAATATAATGAATATAGAAAACTGGTTAAATGCAACGAACCCATTTCACTCTTTCAAACACTTGATCAGGTTGGTTTTCATTAGACTGCCGGGGCGTATGAGAGGAATTAGGAAGTTCTTCAGCAGGTGAGTTAGGTGATATTAATTTAATGGATTCTGAAATTTAATTTTTTTAATTTTTACTATTTATGGAATTTAAATAATTGTACATAATAAAACAAAAAACATTCCAAAATTAACCTAAGTAACCAAGAACATAGTTTCCTGATATTTACATCAGTTTTTTTATTTAGAAATTCAGTTTGATTTTACTTACTAGTGTCCGAAACTGGAACATGTGTTTCCTGTGGTTCGGACGCTTGTTTGTCCAACCACAGTTTAAGGTCGGCAAATGGATCACCATTAAATAAAGGATCGTCATCACATTTAACATTTGCCATAGACCATACATGCTCATCATTGAATACCTGTTCAACTTTTTCAGGTATAAAATCATGAATTTTCGACACCGACTGTACTTCGTCCAATTCTCGTTGGGATTGAGCAAGCTTTGCACGTACAGTCTCCAATTGTTCAAACACCATTTCACAAGTACGTTTAATCTTGGCTGAAGTGCACATTTCCAAAGCTTCAAACTCTTTGGCTGCTAACAGTATGAAATATTGGTTATAACAGTGTCAGCAGTAGAATTAAATGAAGTAAAAATTAAAACATACATTCTGTAGAGTATTTACGCTTTCGTGTACTCTGATTTTGACTATCCACAGAATCATCATGGTCAGAGTTGTAGCTGGTGTTTTCAGCATCATTTGTAGAGCCATTTACACCAATAAGATTATCACAATTATTTGGTATATAGTTTACACCAGATGTCACCTTAAAAATATAAACAAATAAAACATAATAACATACCAACAAAATATTATTTATTTATTAGAAAATTAAAGTAGGTGGGTAATACAGAAATAAAAACAAGTTTTTTCATTAAATTTCAAAAAATGAAAAGAAAAAATATGTATTTAATTAGGTAGGAATAGATAATTGAAATAGCTTGATGGTCTAAACTTAAATTATAAGTCCGAATTCATATTAGATATCATAATATAACAAACTTCAATTAAATTAAGATATTTATTTCTTTAAATTTTATATTTCCAAATAAAATAATTTAAGACTAAAATTATTAATGTTTAATCTCAAGAATTTGGTTGATTAAATAATAAATAAATTTGACTGATTACAAATATTATCAAAATAATGTAAACAATGGTATGATATGTATACAAATGATGTTATGGTAATAATTTGAGAGATATCAAGACGGTACTAAGATTGCTTTTAATTGTTAAGTATCTCTTTCAAATATAATTTATTCTAAACTAATACTACGATTAACTTAACCCTATAGATAAAAAAAAAAAATAGTTTACCTGATGGCCATTCCCATCATAATTATTATGTTTGTGACAATCAATGGTCCCAGCTCCCAGTTGGGAAGCAGTGGCCATAAATGATTTTAGGATCTGAACAATTATTAATCGCTTTTGGATTATCCATTTAGTTTATCTAAAACAAAATAAATGATCAAAAAATAATAATATAAAAATTCACAAGTATTAAATAACAACATTTGTTAGTATACTAAATGCATTTTTCAAATTTTGTGTGATACCTAATAGGTGGATATATTGATATTAAAAACTAATTTAGATAATTTGAGTAAGGGTAACAATTAAATCTTAATACAAAAAATAAAAATTAAAAAATTAATTATTAAGAATCGTATTCATTTGTAATACAATTATAGAAAATTAAAAATTAAATACCTTATTACTTAAAATAAAGTTGGTTTTATTTTGAACTTATAAAATTTAAATAATTATTATTTAACTATATTCAAGATTATTATTTGAAATTAAAAGTATTTGGAATATTATAATTTTTTTAATAAACTTTCATTTGATGTTCCTTATGAATTATTTAAGAAGAAATGATTTAAATGTCAAAATGCAATTATTAAACGAAAATTTACTCGAAAGTTTTAAATAAAATATATTTAAAAAAAATAACAAGCACATGTTGATTTACCCTCCAATGCCGTTTAGGAATAGGGGTAGGATATTAAAAATCCTTTTAAGTCAATGTATGAATCAAGAAACCCTGTAAGTTATCTTGTCGACACCAAAGTTAATTGGCAATTAAATTTTTTCATTACAAATTAACAAAATTAAACTTTATCTAGAGATTAGAGGTTATGTTTTGAAAACAGAAATTCAATAATAACACAAATAATAATAATAGGCGGGATAAATTAATATTTGATAAAAAAGTATTGCGGACACAATTTTTGGGAATCGGGTGAAAAAACAATGCCCAAAGTGGGTTTCCCACATCATTTTCGGGAGGGAAAAGCATCATCAGATCCAGAAAAACGGTAACACGTTAGAACAACGTAACGGAAGGAAATGGCGGGTCGGCCATTTTGTGCGCGCCGGATGAGACTGCCGTTGAGATGCTTACCAAGATCGAAGCGATTACCCTCCATCGGTCGCAAGCCATCACACGAGTCTGTTCAGACAATTACCGCACATTTTGCACGCACAATACTAGAACATGACGCGGTGCGCGCAATGAATTTCATAATCGCAACACACGGGTTCGAAAAAACGTACTGACCGATTCCCCGGACGAAATACACGTTAAGAGGCGCACGACAATATGGCGTCCGGCGGCGGTCGACTGCGAGAATTCGCTGTTTAGTGGGCGCAGCTAGTACGGGCCGATCGAGAGTGAGCGCCCAACAGCAAAACAAAACAAAAACTTCACGGCGGCGGCGCGTCCCCCGCCGACCGAGGCTCCGGAACAATAACAAGAACCCCAGTGTCACCAACCCATGTCGCTCAAACGTAAACAACGCGAAACGCCGTTGAGCTGTCGGTTTCCCGGGCACATTTAAAACAAAATGTATTAGGTTATGTGAGTATCCGACTATTTTTCATAAAGCGTATCACAGCGTCCTATCGCCTATCACGGTTTAAAAGATACGTATGTTAGTGTATTTCTATTTTCTTTAACTGTGAACTGTATGTTTATTTAAAACCACGAGACACAGGAACCTACACACTCCGACTCATATATTAGCCAAGGGACAAAGCGAAAGGCCGAACACCAGCTTTGGCAACTACTAGCACCTGCCAGCTTCCAGCTTTTATAAAATACCTACTTCTTAGTTTGTGACTTGTTTATTGTTATGACTTAAAAGCTGCGGGATTAAAGTATGTGATAATGATCAACAGTTTATTAGATCGTAACCACGGCTAAATATAATATATATAATATTATCTTTAGCCATGATCGTAACAACAACCGATCGTGTTCGCCTTTAGATGTCTATTTATTAAGCAATATGCTTTTACCAAACACTGAACAGATTACATTTATTCTAAATATTCTTTGTTGAAAATCGCATTATCGAAAATGATACGGTTAAACGTTCCTCTGGTACCCGACGAAAACGTTCTCAACAATTTGTTTGGGAAAAACATTTGTACGGTAAACGACTTTCTTCAAAAGAAAACTTCGAATTTGCAAAGTGTATGCAATTTACAATGCAAGGTAATCGCTACAATAAGTTTAGATTTTATTATTTAATATGAATTCATTGAACTGTTTCCACACAGTGGAATGCTATAGCCTATAGTTTAACCTTTAACGTATGTGCATGAAAATAATAAGACGGAATCAAATAGCAAGGTGCTGGTGTGCTGAACTGCTAACCCCCATGCCATAACTGTTGTATGGACCCAAACAATTTTAATTGTAACATTTACAAGTCTCCGGAGCCCTTCCCCCTTTTTGTGCTATGATAATATACAGTATTTTAATAGACGCTGAAGTAGTTTTATACTTAATCAATCATCACCTTATTGCCAATACTAACTAGTTAAAAAGATTAGGTTGGATTGGTAAGTAGACAAACTTTTTTCCAAGCACCTACAATTTTTTTCCAAATTAATACTAAACTTATTACTAATGAATTGTGTGGTAACTATTAACTCTTAACTTAACAATTTTGAATTCACTTAACTGAACTTGAGTTTATCGTTGCCGACCTTTGTTGTTATAATAGAATTAATTGTAATTCATCTATTAAAAACTTAAATATTTAATCAATTAATATTAACAAACATGTTATAGATTAATTTCTTCAGATTCCAGCATTAATACACGCATACTAAAATTAGTTATTTTGTTTTAGGAAATAACAAAATTAAAAGACTGTATGACAGTTAAGTGTTCATCACCACTTATTAATGGATACAAATTGTATCTAAGTAAAACATTATCAACATTCATTAAAACTGGAATTTTAAAGTAAAGTAAATAAAAAATGTTAAGTATAGATTAATGAAATTAAAAATGTTTAGATTGGATAACCTACTTGATGGGGGATTATTTGTTGGTAACATTTATGAATTTTGTGGCCCATCTGCTTCTGGAAAAACACAACTATGTATTAGTATTCTGTTAAATATTATAATAACTACAAAAAAGGAAATAGTTTATATAGATACCAAAAACAAGTTTTCAGTGTACAGAATTAAAGAGATATTGAAAAATAAAAATATGACAAATAATGAAGTATGTATGTTAAAAATAACATTAAATTGATTATATTCATATTGAAAACTAATGCAATACAATTTAATAGATCAAGGATATTTTGAAGAAAATTCATGTGTACTCAGTTATCGACATTTACAATTTAATAACTTGCTTACATGGTCTTAAAGAAAAATTGGAACCCATAATAATCATAGACTCTTTACCTGCCCCATACCTATCGTTCTTAGGATTTTATAAGAATGATGGTAAATTATAATGTTTTAACTTATCCTGATATCATTTAATGTTTTTATGAATTTGTTTTAGGTTTATGCTATATAAATCATATAAGTTCAGTTTTAAAATATTTATGCAATAAAAATTCATCCATTTTGGTGACAAACTTAGCTGTCAAAAATTGTGATTTTGCTAACGAATTCAAGCCTGCTATTGGAAAATATTGGTTTCACATACCCAACACAAGATTAATGATCACTACAACAATAAATCAACAACAACAACAACAACAACAGATGTCTATAAATATTGCAAAAAGTGTATATATACCTATAGACGAAAAATGTATACTAAGTATTAATGATTATGGAGTTTCATAAATACTCTTCAATAAGTTTATTAAGATTTTAAGGATACAAATTGTTAAAGCATGAAATTATAAATTATGTCAGCATTTTAATATTAAACACACTATTAATTAAATAAATAGTCAGAATTTGACTTCAATAACTACAGCCAATAACAGAAAAATAATGTTTACAATTTAAAATATTCTTAGCATAATTAAGTAATGGTATAATATAATAATATATAATAATTCATTATAATAAACGAAAAAAAAAATAGTTCTTTTATAATTTATAAATACATATTTAAATCTATTCAGGTACGTTCAGATTCGGAACAAGTGTCTTGTGTAAGACAAGAACAAAACTTTATTTTTTTTGTAACATTTTCTTTATTAGACAAAAATTTGTTACTTGGCTTTAAGCTATTTGAAAATTCAGCAATAAGTTTGCCAACTTTTTCCTTCATTAGTATATCTTTATCAAACCAAATGTGTTTCAATATTTTATCGAAATCAAACCTCATATCATAATCAATTGTTAATAACTGCTTGATCACATCTTGTGCGCCATTTGAAGTGTTAAACAATTTGAGCTTAGTGATATTGTATACTCCTTTACAAATCTTTTCTTCAATAAAATCACCAGCAAAAGGTTTATAACCACTTAAACTATATGAAAAAAAATTTAATATATTTAATATTGTTTTTGTTAATAAAATTAAATAGAAAGTTGTTTACCATTCATATAAAATAACACCAAAACTCCATGAATCTACTTTATTAGTATATTTAATGTATGATTGAGTAACATTTTTTCTATTTGAAAATACTTCCGGCGCAAGATATGCTAAAGAACCACAAAATGTTTTTAAATGTGTGTTTTCAGTTATCTTCTTAGATAAACCAAAATCAGCCAATTTTACAACACTTATAGGAGATTTAATGGAAAGTAAAATGTTTCCTGGCTAAAATTTAAATAAAATATGCTCATGTTTTAAATTGTATTTATAAACAATTGAAAATATATAAAATTACTTTTAGATCTCTATGAGCAATTGACCTATTGTGTAAATATTGAACAGCTCGAGCAACTTGATACAAAATTATTTTGGATTCAGATTCTTTTAAACGTTTTGTATTTTCAATTAGTTGCTTTAAAGTTCCTCCAGGCATGTATTCCAATGTGATATAAATTGCATCAGTAGTATCAATGAAATTCTCCATATTAACAATATTTGGCTATACATAAAAACTTTGATAAAAAACAGCAAATATATAAACTTGATGTAATAATTATATGTATAATTACTGAATTACATGAGATAAGCTCGATAAAATATCAGGTTCTCTTAGCACAATACAACTCTCCCTGTTCACTTTTTTCAATGCAAAGCATTTTGAAGTCTTCTGCAAAACAACAAAATAACTATTTATTGTGGTTCACAACTCACCATGCTGTATCATGTTCTGTATATTTAATACACAGGTAATGTGCGACCAACATTTTGTTACCTCTGCAAGGTGAGTTGTGAGCCCCCTTTCATAAATCAAAACCGAAATGAAATTTCAAGTTAACATTATATAAAATGTACATAGAATGAAATTTTTCACTTGATAAAGATTAATGTACTTAATATTTTAGAGTAATTATTGAAAACTAAACTTAATTTTGTTATTACACAAATACACATTACACTGATACCAATAATGAAGAAAAAAAGATGTTTCACAGAATGAAAAACTAAAAATAGATCATAAAAATGGATATTCGATTTAAATGATTGCAATTTTTAAGGCTATGCAAATTCAATTTTCTCTAAATATCAGATTGTAAACAAAATGAAAAATTAACGGTAAATATTATAAAATAATTTGTAACATGACAATACTATTCATTAACTAAATATTTATATTAACAATATTATATTTTATGTAATTATTCAAAATAAATAAATATATAAACGAATTATAAACGTTCTATAATATACATATGATATTATAACCCAGTGGCGGACGGATATGCTCAATTTTGACACAGGGTGGCAGGTTGTGGCATTGAAGGCTTTGACCACGGTCCAATCGCTTTAAACCACATTTTATTTCCATCACATCTAACTAACTTTTAATAAGTAAATAATGTATATCATAGGGCAATGGCAAATATGTCAATGAAATTGTGTCATTTAAAATTGAAGTTCAGTCCAACACTGATATACCACTGCTATGGTTTGATTAAGGCAATAAAATGTTCAACATTTTATTTAATTTTTCTTTAAATTTAACAAAACTTACTTTTTCAAAAGCCAATCGGACTTCACCAAAAGTTCCTCTACCCAATATGCCATACACAGCAAATTGTTCCCCAACTTTTGGATGACAATTTAAATAGTCCGAACGTTTATCAGTAAATGTATACACTACAAAAATAAATATAAAATATTCATGGTAAATTCTTAAACATTTATTTAGGTGATTTTTTATATAATAGTTAAAAGTGTACCATGATTCGCTTTAGAAACAACAGCAATTTTGTCATTATTCGATAAAATCCAACGATTGCCTTTTCCAATTTTTTCACCATTCAAAAATGTACCATTTGCACTTGTGTCTGTAATAAATACTACATAACCTAATGTCCCAATCTTTTCGCGATTTATTATGAAATGAATCTTGCTAATATGATTCATAACTTTTAAACTAAAGCATTGTTTTGTAAATTGAAAATCCACATCATTAGTTTGACGACCAGCGTTATAATTATCCTTCACTAGGTCTAAAACAAATACAAAATTTACCATATTTAAATGAATGTATACGTATATAATAATATCACAACAATAATACGTTTATTATGCATACTATTTAATAATATTAGACATCAAACCTTCAATTTTTAAACTTTCGTTCTCTGGATAAAGACGTCCCCATGCATTTGTATTCTCCGGCTTAGTTATTTGATCCTGGCTGCTCAAAGACTCTTGACTGTTTATGAGAGGGGTCAAAATGTCTGAATCACCCATATTTACACCTCTAAAATAATGCAAATATCATAATTTAGTAAGAATAGTAATATTTCATTTTATTCTAAAATATACAAAATTCTTTTTCTTAGTTTATTAAGTATCTATCTATTTGATTCATGTTGTTGTATAAATAGCTTAGCTTAGTAAGAGGAAAAAAAATTTAAAAAATAAAAACTTAAAATAAGTTGTGTCACTAATGAGTGGCTTCTTCCCTTAAAAATTCCAATGTAAATACCAAATAGTAAATACTCTTTGTCACATTTGCTTATTATTCCGTGTAAGAATAGATTTTAAATTTCTTATAAAAAAAATAAAAAATAAAATTTAGTTGTGTAATAAACTTACAATAAAATGCATGTAATTAGTAGACAAGACAACTATCGCCACAGGCCACTGATATTATAAAAATATTAAATGCCGCAATGACAAATGACAATCGCTGATTAGAACTTAATGATGGCACTGCGGGCCGCGAGCAGCACAGGTGGACTCGTGGACTGGCGAGTAACAACTAACAAGTAGCGGTCACCAATTCAGTATTCATCATTACCAATAAACCAATTCGGGTACCTAATAGAAAATTGAATTCCACCATGGTAGCGGGGTACCAGCATAAAATCGTATCGAGTCGTTTTTAAAATGGTATTTATAACTTTAGAATATTATCAACAACAACCTACAGGTTGTCAGTACCCATTTAATAAGAAGTCTATATATAACAACTGGCAACTTGTATTGTCAGAATCGAAAAATATAGAAATGGATAATGATTTAATTATAGACTATACATAGTACTATACTTTATGCTATGTATAATATTATAAACTATACATATATCTATTTATATTATAGATAGTCCATAATATTTATCAATAAGTAATAAGTAATAACTAATAAGCAAAGCATAATATTATAAAATATGTATACAATTATTACTTTACCCAACGAATTTGAATACATAAAAATCTTTATAATTACGAATATTAAAAGATTGCAAACACGTCTTAACAATTTTGGTTTTCAAGGTACAATTATAGAATAGATGATATAATTTAATTTATTCTACGATAAAAGTACAAACGACGTTATTTTTAAATATTGCATAATATGCATTACACTTTAATTATAATTCAAAAGTATTATGTATTTATGTACTCTTAAATACCTACCTATAATTACACGTACCGTATTAATAATTTAGATTTTTTTTTTTAGACCTATAATTTCAAAATTTCAAATTCGACATAAAAAAATCTACACTGTCCAAATATGAAATTCTGAACGATCTGTATAACAACTGAGTGCCGACTTCCATAGGGCATAGATTAAGTATATTTAATCTATGCGACTACCAAGTACTGACCAGTAAGGCAGTAACGACTGACGAGTGAATACAGGATACAGAAAGCAGAACGATGATAACTTGAGTCCTGACCGGCGACCGCTATTATCTTTAATTATGATGTTATGGTCATTGGTTAGATTTTTGGACAAACATCCGGATGAGAGACTTCCACCCCGAAATGCATAAAATCACCATACCATCAATACCCCCTGCGTTTTATCATAGAACAATATTATTATTATTATTATAATATTGTTTTTTATTATGCTGTCACAGTGTGATTGACCAAGCTTGCTCGCCCTATTATTTCCTTAAATTTTAATTTTTTGAATTTTTAAATATACTACAAGACCGTCAAGACCATAATTTTAACTTTTTTTGAACTCTGTACTGCTTAAAGAGTGTCTTGTGGTGATGCAAACTTAAGTTTTTCAAATAAGAATCCAATTTTTTTGCAATAAAAAATGTTTGTACAAAGGATAGTAGTCCTTAAAAATGGTTTAAGAAAAATATAAAACAAAAAAGAATGCAAGGAATATAATTTTATTTTGGGTGAGAACCAGCCACTGTGGGTAGTTGGAAAACTCGAAAAATTATTATAGGCATTCGAGTATGTTCACTCATCGTCAACGAAGGCACTAACAAAATAATCGAATGTATCTATACATGTATATAGATTATAGATACTCTTTTTGTTGCAAATTACAATTTACAAAATATAAATACTATTGTGAAAAGGTATTATTGAGTCATGTCGGTCATGGTTCGTATTAATGCATATATTTTACAAAAAAATACAAAAAACACGATTAATCCGTTCAGTACGCCAGTCGAAGTAGCAACCCTACCGTACGCCATGATATAACTAAGTTAGGTGTAGTAGGTGTACTACTTATACTACTTAACTAGTTTCTTAGTTATATCATGCTAAACGCAGAGCAGCCTGTAGCTGGTTCATAGAGTAATATTACTCTATGCCCTATGGGCTGGTTGGATCTAGGACAATCGGTCCCCGGACAATTGGTCCCCGCGAAAAAATGCGGCATGCGGACAATTGGTCCCCGTCATAATTTCATACACGGACAATTGGTCCCCGGCTTAAAAGTTAAACACAAAATAATTTTTTAAAACATTCTCATATAATTTAATTCAAATGACACTGAATAAAGTAAAAATAATTAAAAAGTTAAATAAAATTAATAATAAAATTTATTTTGTAATTAAATATAATATTTATTTTAATAAAATTTTTTAAAACTGATTTTCAATAATATAATAGGTACGCTTAGTGAATAAAATATAATATACGTAATATGGTCAAATAAAAAAATAAAAATGTATATAATACCTTGTGAGAATAAAGCCTTGATAGCGTTCATCGAT